CGCTGGGGGTGCACAGGCGCGTGGAGGAATGAAAGCGCAGTGTGGGCGGTTGATGTGTATGGACTGTGTGTCTGTGGGGGCAGGGTGTACGGGTTGGTGGGAAGCGTGCACTGGAGAGCTGTGCAGGGGACACCCCCCCCCTTGTCGAGTCACCCCTGCTCGGCGATCCCGCAACGTCTCGCCCCGCCGCCCCGCACGATGACGTCATCATTAGGTCATCGTGGTCATGGCGCTCCTCATCCGCATCCTGACCGTGTGGCCGGCCCTGGCCGGCCTGCTGGTCACCGTGGCCATCATCCCGCTGACGTGGCTGCTGGGGAAGCTTCTCGCCAAGGCCAGGCGGCAGGCCATGGTGGCGGCGGACGCGAGGGTGAAGCTGATCACTGAGGTCATCACGGGTGAGGCTGGGTCGTGTGTGTGTGTGTGTGTGTGTGTGTGTGTGTGAGTGTGTTTTTGTACACGTGCGCATGTTTGTTGAAGTGCATGCCATTGTGCATGTGTGGGCATGTGCATGTTGTTCTGTGCGCTCGTGTTTTGACTGTCATGTTCACAAATGGTTGGTCGGGCAAGCTATACGGATACAGGATGTCCTGCCTGCGCCCCTCCTTGTCGCACATGGCCGTGTCTCCCGGCATCAAGGCCATCAGCGCACCAGTAGGCCAGCCGTCGCCACAGCCCCCATCTCGACCGATCCCTTCAACCCATACCCCCCCCCAAAAACCACAAAGGCATCAAGGCCATCAAGCTGTACGCGTGGGAGGAGCCCTACATGGAGCGCATCAGCGCCCTCAGGGAGGAGGAGCTGCGACACATCAGGCGCACGCAGCTGCTCAGCATGGTGCGCGCGGGGGGCGCAATGCGTGCATGCACACATACACACGCACAGCCATACACACACAGGCATGCCAGCGCGCGACACAACCACTGACACGAGCGGGCCGGCCCCACGTGTTTCGCAGCTGCCCGGCCGGCCGGCCGGCGCTTGCTCTCCCTGCAGAGTCGCCGCTGGGGGGCAAGCGCAGCACACAGTGCCAAAGCGCCACTTCTTCCAGCCCTCCCAGGCTCCTGCCCTTGAGGATGGCCCCTTGACTGATTTCAAGCAGCGTGCTAATACCGCCTCCTCACACCTCTTGGCGGACACGACACCACACGCATCCCGCCTTGGCTCTTCTTAAACTCATTTCAAACAGAGTTTAAACCCCATTCAAACCCATTCAAACCCACCCCCCAGGTCAACATGACAGTGTTCAACACGGGCCCTGTGCTGGTGTCCCTAGCCGCCTTTGGCGTGTACGCCGCCATGGGGCGCCCCCTCACGGCCGCTGTGGCCTTCCCAAGCCTGGCCCTGTTCAACCTGCTGAGGTGGGTGCGCGCGCGCGCGCGTGTGTGTGTGTGTGTGTGTGTGTTTGTGTGTGTGTGCGCGCGCGAGTGGGTGAGAGGGCGGGCGGACAGGCGTGCAATGATATGCAGGCGTGTGTGGGGTGCCGTCGCTCGCATACGGCAAGTGCAGACTCCTGGTTCGCACACTGGCAGCGTCGGGGCCCGTGAACACGTTGCCCTCCCCCAGCCGCCAGGCGAGCTCCATACCCCGCTGCATCTTGCTTGATCACCCTTCAGGTTCCCAATCGTCATGATCCCGGCCCAGATTATGAACCTCATCGCCGCGCACGTCGGCATGGGTCGCATGCGCAAGGTGCGCGCCGCGCCGCCGCCCATCCTGCCGCCTCCCCCGCGGTGCCCGCCGCCGTTGCTCCGAGGCCGCCGGCGCGCGGCCCTCTGCCGCCGCTTCCCCCCTCACCGTCCCTCGCTCCGCCCCTTCGTCCGTGTAGCCGCTGCCGCCCTGCCTTACACCCGCCCCCGCGCGCCCCCAACCGCCGCCTCAACCGCCAGTTCATGGACTCAGAGGAGATGGAGACCCCGGCCCACCCAGACGCCCCGCACACCCCGGCAGCCGGCCCCGCCGACGCCGCGGCCCCCCCGGCCAAGCCGCCGGCCGCCGCCGCCGCGGCGGCGGACGCGTCCAACCTGGGCGCCGACCAAGACGCGCGCGGCGGCGTCAACGGCGCGGCGCCCGCTGCAATCAGCATCGACGGCGGCAGCTTCGCTTGGGAGATCGAGGGCCCGCCGGTTCTGCACAACATAAAGCTCGAGGTGCCAGCTGGCGCCCTGGCCATCGTGGTCGGCCCCGTCGGCTGCGGCAAGAGCAGCCTCCTGTCTGCCGTGCTGGGGGAGATGGTTGCCGTCGAGGAAGTCGAGCAGGCAGATCTGCCTGCTGGGGATGAGCAGGAGGGGCGGGGCGCGGTCGTGCGGCGCTGCAAGGCGCGGGCGGCGGTGCGGGGCGGCCTGGCGTACACGGCGCAGGACAGCTGGATCCAAAACGCGACGCTGCGGAACAACATACTCATGGTGGGCGGGGGTGGGGCTGTGGGTTTAGCATGTAAATGGGTCCAGGGTTTCGGATTTGGAAGGGTTGGCGCAGGGGTGGGCGGGGTTGGATGGGGGTGGGGTGGATAGAGTGGGCAGGTGCCGGCTTCTGCCACCTCAGTGCCATGAGTCCAGCCCGGGCCCGTCAGCAACCTGTTTCAGCGTCCTCCGGCCATTTTCACACACAGTCAAAGGCACAGCCGCCTCGACGACTCCCCTGCCAGACTGCCACCTGCATCACAACCGCCCCATGCCCCCTCCATTCCCCCTGCCACCCAACCACTACCACCTGTCCGCCCGGCTGCCGCTCATCCTCAGGGTCTGCCGTATGATGCGGGGCGCTACCGCCGCACCATCGACGCCTGCTGCCTGGAGAAAGACCTGGAGGTGTGGGGAAGTTGGTGGCGCTCACTCGTGGATTACGCGTGTGGTTGGCCCCCCTGTGTGTTTGTCCCCATGTGTTTGGATCCGTTTTTGTTTGTTGCCTATCACATATACTTGGGCCTGTCTGTTTGCCCGCCCATAAAACCCCCACACGCTGCCCGCTGGGGCCCCCCTCTGCGCCCACACCCCGCTCCATCCATATCCCCCCTCCCAACCCAATCAAAGTAACCCGAGACAATGCCTGCCGTCCCGCTCTCCGCGCCCCCGCTCCGCCCCATCCATCCC